ATGAGTGCTATGTCCAGATTTTTGTTGTCAAAGCTTTAAATACAGTAAGACCCTTTATATACATCGTACTGATACATAAGACGCAGACACACCCCTCTGCAGGTTACGCCACACAGAGGCACGTTAAACAATGAATATTTGGGGAGAAATATTCCTCCACTGCAGTTCTCACCCTGTGCAAATAGGTGTCAGAATCTTCCGGCATGTCGTAGTTGAAGACGATATTGACTCGCTCGATGTCCATCCCTCTGCCGAAGAGATTAGTGGCCACCAGGATCCGCCTCTGGAAGTCTTTGAACTGCTGATAACGGGAAAGCCTGCAGAGAAGAGCGAGAGAAGGGGCGGAGGGAGGATGATCAACACAGCTGCTGCAGTCATAACTCGACTTTGAAGGCAATGATGTGTTGAGTTAACTGATGAGGCCGTAGGCTCCATAAACATACGCAGCATTCAGGGCTCAAAGGAGTGTGTGTTTATGAGAGGAGGAAAGTGTGTGTGTGTGTGTCTCACCTCTCCTCCTGAGTCATGCCCCTGTGGATGGAAATTGCAGGGAAGTTTTGCTCCACCAGAAGCTGGGACAGAGCGATGCAGCGCTGGACTGACTTGACAAAGATCACCACCTAGAGGCAAAACAGAGGTATTGCAACCTTTTGTTAGCAAAACATCAGTTTGGCTGCATTCACACTGCAGCTAAAAGTTTTTTTTTTTTTTTTTTTTTAAATCACTGAACAACACAAGCCATGTGGAATCAGATCTTTTCCAATTAGATTCAGGCTACTCTCATGTGGGGATTCTCATACAAGCCACATTTAAACATAATGTGGGATATAAGAAAACAATCAAAGTCCTGATCATTAAAGGAAGAATGCATGTTCTTTAGTTCTTGACTAAAACAGCTTTTATACACAAGGGGAGGAGCCGGCCGTCCCGTCCATGTAAACACGGCTCTGACAACAACACAGCCAGCGGGACTCGAGCTTCTCCCTCATCGTAGACAGTCATGACTCAGAGACACATTTAGACAGGACAGACTCTGTTTGTGATATATTTGTGTAACAGGTTGTACATTCTTCCTTTAAGGCTTCAAAGTGTAAAATGCTGGGGTGTATCATCATATCAACAGCTGCATCTCTTCACCTGGTTGAACTCCAACACGTCGAGCAGGTCGAAGAGTTTGCGGTTCTTCTCGCTGTCCTTCAGTTTGGAGTAGTACTGCTGCAGGCCGTGGAGGGTTAGTTTGGTCTCATCGTCCACAAACACTTCCATGGGCTGCACAAGAGAAGGAGGAGGAAATTCAATACACGTGAAATTCAAATATGCAGCCGTTCCTCCGTCCTCTGTAAATCTACGCGTTGGATAATTCTGCAACAACGCTTAATCCATCACTTACATCTTGCATGAATTTACGGCAGACTGGTCGGATCTCTTTACTCAATGTAGCGCTGAACATCATGACCTGCTTCTCATGAGGGGTCGCCCTGAAGATCTCCTGCACGTCACACCTCATGTCTGTCAAACACAAACAAGTCAGAGACTTAAAATGAACGCTGGATGTGACCTTGTGTTTAAATATCACAATCAATGACATGTGAAGGAATATCTGCACAGGTGGGACTGAAGCACTCACCTAACTGATCCAACATTTTGTCACACTCGTCCAGCACAAAATGTTTGACGTTCTTCAGAGTGAGGACCTTGCTCTTGGTGAGAGCGAGGATACGACCCGGCGTGCCGACGACGATGTGCGGGCAGTTCTTCTTCAAAACCTCCTCGTCCTTCTTGATGGCCATGCCACCGAAGAACACCGCTGCCTTCACCGAGGACATGTACTTGGAGAAGCGCTCATACTCTTTGCTGATCTGGAAGGCCAGCTCTCTCGTGTGGCACATGACCAAAACAGAGACCTGGGGGGAATTTACAGATTAGATTTAGAACATTTAAGGATTTAACACGACAAGACGTCCCAGGGGCATAAATGTCAGCTTTAGTGCTCTTTGCAGTGGATTGCAGTTTAAGAATTTTTTTTAAACCTACCTGTCCGTCAATAGGTTCAATCTGCTGCAGTGTGGCCAGCACAAACACGGCTGTCTTGCCCATACCAGACTTGGCTTGGCACAGGATGTCCATACCCAGGATAGCTTGTGGGATGCACTCGTGCTGGACTGCAATAAAAACACACAGAATATGAATTTAATTAGAATGGTATTAAGTGAAGATCCAGCTGCTAAAACACAACGCCTCTCTTTTCTCATCTCACTGATTGAGTACAAAGTCAACAAAAAATTTACAAATAACCAAAGGAGGGAACCAAATTGTCCTTACCTTCAGACGGATGCTCAAAACCGCAGTCGATGATGGCGCGGAGCAGCTCTGGTTTGAGCAGAAAGTCTCTGAACCCAGAGCTGTGGATGGAAACGTAGGAACCCTTCACCTCCTTCTTGCCGGCGGGCGCGGCGCTCTCAGGCGCTCCCTGAGGCTCTTCGTCCTCTTCATAGTCGAGCAGCTCGTTGTCAACATCATTCTCAGCCATTTTGTCTAAAAAGAGGAAAACATTATTTAAACGTCGGGTCGTTATCGATCAACAGCTGAAGCCAACGCCCGGTGGAGGGTTTAATGGGGCTGTTCACAACCAGTGTTTTCTTTGTGCCGTGTACATGGCTCTCTAAATGGGTTTAACGCCCCATCAAGCACCATCAGAGACGCCCAACACTCCACTCTTTAAAGGCTTTTCCGCATATCTCGATTCTCCTTGAATGTAAATTTCCTGCTCTCTTCTGTAAGCAGTTTCAGTGTTTACGAAAAACGCTGCCAAGAACAAGAAAGTCCACAAAAAGTGTTTAAAAAGGAAAACAAGTTACACCAAGTCGACAGTTTAGATCTAAAATCCAAGACAGACCCCCTTTAAGACCTTCTGAGACATTTGATGACCTTGAATCTACTTCCCACAAAAAAATAAACCCACACACAAAAACAAAAAAGTGACACACACACTGAAGTGATTTATTTTCAGTTTTTGCTGAAAAAAATGTTTTATGTGGGTTGCTTGTTTTGTTTGTTTGTATTTTTCAAATAAATGAATGCAAAAAAAAAAAAAAAAAAAAATCTACTTCCAAGCCTTTAAAGATCTGCAGGAACCGTGTTTAAGTCTGCAGACACGGGGCACGTTTCTTAAAAACTTTTAACAGAACGAATGTGCATTTTAATTTCTTGATTATAAACCTATGAGTTGGTTTTTAAGTTAATTGTTATAAATACATTAAAAGTTTTACCTAACATGTTTAAGTTACAATAGAATAGAATGACTTTATTGATCCCAAACTGGGAAATTGTGGCGTTACAGCAGCAGGTTGTCCAAACACACAATATGAGCAAAAAACAAAGTTAGCAAATTTAAACACAATATAATATTAAATACAAAGTAAATAAGCACTAAAAATATCAAAACTAAGAATGGAATATATACAACCAGGATTTAACTTAGCATTACTTCTAGTCTTAAATATGAAAGATTAAATGTAAATGTGCAAATGAGTTGTAAATGAACAGTATTGATAGAAGTTAAAGTGCAGGTTAGAATTACAGACATGAACACAAAATAAATGAAGTGAGGCAGGATGTGTGATCCCTCACTTCTCTTATATTAAATCACTTCATTTAATTCATTTCACTCCAGTCTCTTATATGAAATCTGTTTCTCAGCCTGTAGGAGTATTTACTTAGATTACTGTTAACTTACATGCATGTTTAATTAATTTTACTGTTTTAATCTCTTTGTATTTCTGATATTATTATTATTATTCTTTGTTCTGCATGTTTTTAAATACAAAAGTTCTTCATAAATAAACTGAGTAGATTTATTTTCTCATTATTGTATGAAAAGTGCTCAATAATAATTCATCTTTTATAATGAAAATAATAATTTCTCTACATAATCAGTTATATATATATATATATATATAATATATCAGAAGTTATTGATAAAACGTGTTGAAGTTGATTCTCTTAATTAACATCGATTAGCCTCAAAACACACAGAATCACAACATGTTAGATAACTTAAAAACACAACATGGGATGAATTAATTTAGACAGATTAAACCTTAAAAACTAAATAAATAATGTGAATGTGCAGAAACGAGCCGGTTAGCCGTTAGCTTCTGTGGAAACCCATTGTGTTGCATAACCGAAGCTAACGTGGCGAGCTAACGAAGCTGCTACAGAGACAAACTAACTTCACACCTAAACAATGAACGGATAAGTTAGAGTAACTGCGCAGTATTTGTTACGTGTTGGATTAAAAGACATATATTTGTTAAATATAAACAAATAGGTGAAAGATAACCGGGTGGTCGGAGCTAGCTTGTTCTTGATTAAAACGCGCTAGCTTACCGTGTGAGCGCTAAATCAAACAATGAAGGACGATTATTCATTTAAGGAGCAAAACTTAACGACTTAATCCAAATAAATCAACTTCACAACTTCACTGAAGCCAGGAACAGTTTTGTAAACCTTCTCGTTGCCACATTCATCACAGTTTTTCAGTCTTACCTTCTGCAGTAAAAGCTAAGCGTCCACCTACAGAACAAACCGCATGGACAGGCCTCAAATGGGACATACGAGACACCGGAAGTCACGCCTTCGACGAAACGCGTGAACTTCATTGGTCGATTTGGACGCCCATTAGCTTCGGAGCCAGTGATTGGACAGAAGTTGTTCCGCAGTACACCGCAGTTTAAAAAAAGCGGGACGCAGCATGTACGGAAGCTCTCGAGGGACCCAGACGGTAAATAAATAATAAACAAACGATGTTTTATTTTCAGTGTTTTATTGTGACTGTTTTTGTTGTGGAGGGCGATTTTATTGTTAAGATTTTAATGTTTTGCAAAGCACTTCAAACGTTGGTTTTGATAAGTCTATGTTTTATATAAACATTATTATTTGTATTAGCAATTTAATGTTTTGTGCCACATTTTGGAAAAGAAAGTCATAAAGAACAAAGATGATAACTGAGGAGTTTATTAACTTTCACGGCTGTAATCCGTTTTGTTTATTTGAGGAACTGCGGCACAAATAAAAGATACAAGAACACGTATCATTCTTAAAGGTGTTAATATAATAAATCCAACAGTTGAGAATCAGTGATCTAAAAAGATCCAACAGCACTGAACAGACAGACTGCTGTTTATATAGATAACAAAAAATCAACTTGCAGTGAGGTCTATGTTAATATTTTTATCCACAAGGTTAACGTAGGTTATTCTTTAAATATATTATTTTCAATTCTTCTTGAAGGTCATTGGTTCATTCTCATATTTAGAGAAAAATAGTTAATTAGCAAATATAGTGTCTAAAATGTTATTGCAACAATAAAAGTCCCAGAAAATAACTTTTTCCTTATAAAGCAAGTATAAAAATATATTAGTGTACAAAAGGCCTTAGCTGTTATGGTAATATTATCTGTAAGATAGAAATTAGTCTTATATTTGTGATTCTAGAGCTGAAGAGAAGCTCCACTGTGTAGGAGAGAAGTATGGAAAACTGTCAGACTCTGGCCGGTCGTGATCCTCTGAGTGTTTCTCAGACGGGCAGAAAGAGCGTCTCAGGAAGTCTCTGACCTGAGGCGGCAGAGAGAGGAACAGCCACTCCTCCACCAGGAGACCCCCTCCGTGCAGGCCTGAGCAGCAGCCCAGTTCAGCAGGCAGCTCTTCCAGACTGTTGCTGCGCAGGTCCAATCTGCTCAGGTGGCCTGAAGCTGCGATCCCCCCGGGCAAAGAACTGAGAGAGTTGTGTGCCACGTTGAGGATCCGCAGCTCCACACAGCTGCTGAAAAGCTCAGAGGGGAGGCTCTCTAATCGGTTCCCGCTGAGGTCCAGCTCTGTGAGCAGCTGCAGTGTTTTCACCTCTGCAGGGAGCTCCTTCAGCAGGTTACCCGCCAGCAGGAGCCTGCGAAGGCGGCGGAGTGAGAAGAGAGCTGGAGGAAGGCTCCGGAGCTGGTTGTTTGACAGATCGAGAAGCTCTAAGCCCCGCAGCACACCGACACTGGCCGGCAGCACCACAACATGGTTGTAGGCGAGCTAAGACAAGAAAGACGTCTCAGGTGAGCCAGGGTGAGCAGTTCCTCCAGAGTTCTCATGTTATTGTGTTGCAGGTCGAGGGTCCGCAGGTTGGAGAGAGCCAGCAGGGCGGAGGGCAAACGCTCCAGCTGGCAGTCCTGCAGCAGCAGCTCCGTCAGGTCCACCATCCTCTTCAAACCCGTGAGGACGAGCAGCCTGGTGCCCTCGTTGTAGATCTCAAGCCTCGCTACGCTGCCCGCCACCTCACACAGCTCCCCGGGGATCCGCTGTAACCTGCCTCGGACCGCCAGCATACGCAGGTGGTGCAACTGGCGGAGGCTCCCCAGTGCCCAGCCGCGTCCGACTCCACCATCACTGCTCAGGCGGCCGCAGAGGTGGAGCTCGTGCAGGCTGTGGAGGGAGAGGACCCAGCTGGGGATCTCTGACGCCTGAGTGAATGTGAGGTGGAGGACCTCGAGTCGCTCCTGGAGGACTCTGAGTGCACCGGGGTCCACAGCCGCTGTGCAGTGATAGAGGTGGAGCTCCCTGGTGTAGGAGTCAATAATAACATCAACAATTAAGAAGAAGCCAATGCAGAAGTGCAATAAACTGCAGTTCATCAAGTGGCCACTAGGTGCTGGGTTAAAAAGTGAGTCAATCCCTATAAGGCCCCATACAGAAAGTGGTAGAGGGCAGAATTTTTTATCAAACTTATCAATCTAAATTACATTATGGCTTAAAGTTATGCACAAGCTAATTCAGCTATTTGAGTCATTTATATTGTATACAAGCATCATGGGACTCACCTGAGTGCAGCCATGTTGGCCACCTGCGCGGTGAACCTGGCGTCTGTGATGAGTTCCAGTTTGAGGACATGAAGCTGGCTGAGGGTGAAGAGGGCGGGGGGGAGGCGAGGCAGAGCCACCAGCTGCAGCCTGGAGCCGCCGTCTGCATCCACGGTCGTCATGGCGTGCAGCTTCTCCTCTCCCCAGCGCCTCTCCAAGCTCTCCTCCAGCAGCCGGCTCTCACTGACGGGGGACAGGAACACGGACAGACGCTGAGCCAGCAGGGGGTCGTACTGGTCCAACATGTGCAACAGGAAGGCCAGGTCGTTCCTCAGGTCGGGAACGTCGATGAGGGAGCGCAGATCCTTCAGAGAGTGGAAGGAGTACTGCCGCAGAGAGCTGAACAGGAAACACAGTTCACAGAATATTAGACTGAAGCCATATCGTTGTTACTGCATGCTGAGTTCTTCATACTCTGACCTGTGCAAAATCCAGCAGAGGGTGTAGAGGTTGAGCAGGCTGTACAGCCCCAGTAGGCTCAGGTAGGCCACCAGCAGTTTGCGCATGAGAGAGGAAATCACATGGATACACTCGAAGGTGGCGTAGCCCACCAAGGCCTGCTCCTCGGGGTGACAGGTGTGCGTGAAGGTGAAGGAGCTGAG